GGCTTTGGCTGAGCAAAGTCGCAAAACGACCGTAGTCCTGAAAAGTAGTCTGCGTAGTATCGTCTCGGCCCACACCAAACCATGTCGTATCGTTGTCAGCTTGTAGTTCTTGTTCGTAGCTCTCGTCTGTTCTCTCCGGCTCCAGTATCTGACGGAGTCGTTGGATGACACGTGGAAAGGACTTCTCATGAGGACGGACCACGTTGCGAGGCGCCTTCGGACCATGAAGCGGCCATTTATCCCAACACTCGTCGCAGAAGTGGCTGTCGCTACATTCGGTGCATACAGAGAGAGACCTTGACGTTGACTTGCAGTCAAGACAGCAATCGGCCCCGCTGGCCTGGCCGTCTGTTGTAGACTCAGCCATCGTTGCTGGAATTATAAGGCAAGATTCAACGACTTACTGGTTACATTTGGAAGAAGAGAGAGCAGAGAAGGTTGAAAAACATACCTCGAGGGATGTCCTAGATAACCCAATTCGGGGGAACTAACGGGCAGCAGCGCAAGGCTCCCAGCCTGCCTCCAGACCTGCGCTCATCCTGCAGCCACAATTCCTTCTGGATGTAATGAATATGTCATTTGATTTATCTGGCAGTGATAGGCGGGTTCTTTTCTGGGGTCGTGGTATTTGATGACTGCAGCTAAACTACCGTTCCAATTACGGCTGCTGGCCCACCGCAGGCCATCGTGCAGAGTTGTCCACGGGGGAACTCAAGAATAGCACAGTAGCAACCAAGAGTCGAGTATTCTGGTCTTCATTCGCGTATTATCTTCTCTTCACACCATCAGGTCATCGTTGACTAACTAAATCTTGCTATTTGATGATTTCAATGCCACCTACCATCCGCCACATTGCATGCATGGAAAACTCCTACCACCGTTGATACGCGCTCATGATGAGACAGGTGCGTCTCCGGCAAAACATCACTGGTCATGTTGAGTCTTGGCCTCTGGATGTTCGGCATCTAATGCCACCATGGCCTGAGAACGACCCGGCAGCATTTGAACGTTTGAATAATTTTCTTTGCTATTTCAAGACTGTGAATTATTTGAGCATTTTCGACTAGCCAGTATAACCCATAATTACTTACGTTCACTTTTCACGCTCACGAATTTGTATCACGAATTTGTATCACGAATGTATTCGCAGTCTAATACGGCACTACTTACATAGCGTAACGATTAGTGATATGACTACCTTGAAGTTTGCTACTCAGCACGCATGAGATAACACCTAGGTCTACCTTGGCTCCATTGAGGCTGCCGCAGTAATTACCGAACTGGAATTAAGTCTCGCGTTTATCAACGGTCTGATGTCTCAAGTTAGTGCCTACGAACCCTCCTTTTAAACATGTAGTCATGAGAACACTCACCTCCCTATGCCCTACACTGTTATAGGCATTCTAAGTACTGGAAAGATGTCCGTATTAACGCAATCATGTGGCAGAAGCGGGAGACTACTAGGCTATAACGGTAGAAAGCAATCGATAGGCTGTAGTGAAGGTAATAATCATCTCGGCCTATTGCCGACTCCCTCGCTCTAGCAGTCCCGTGATCCATCTAAAGAGATAATGACAAAGAAGAATTCACATCTATTCACGGGCCTCATCGTTCGTCCTAAGTCGTAGCGGACGTGTTCGCAGCTTAATACGGTACTACCATGGAAGCGTGAACGCTACGGGAGCCGTTGTTAGTTTGCACTTAGTAAAAGATGGCACTGATTGAAAGCATTTCTCTCAAGCTAATTTGCCAAACCTCTCACATTAGCATGATCTGTGATTCGCTCTACACGTCTGCGTAATCGATCGAATTAAGAAGGCAAGTCCCTACGACAAAGAATAAGTCTTTCAGGCCTCTATGTAATCATATTTACTGTAACCTACCTGCGAGGGCTGTAGCTAATAGAATACTCTTTGTTTCTTAGACTTAGCTTTTTTAACTAAGTCGTCTGAGTCAACTTTAATCATGAGACTATGATTTCGACTGAGGTCATACTAGTGATAATCCGCCCATGACATCTACCTGACCTCAAAATATGGCTGTGAGTCGGCTCAGACGTGCGCATCTCAGAGTTATATATCACAGGGAGGTTTCGACTGTTCAGAATCACTTTCAGACATGACCCATCGAAGAACCAACCATTGCATAGATGACATTGAAGTTGAAGTTGAAGTTGAATTTGATATTATGCAACGGACTGCATAAGTCCTTGTACTAGAAAAGTGCCTATAACTCAATCGAGCCATGCCGATTTCCATGGCTTTGCTCACCCAAAAAGCGCCGGTAAGAAGTGCATGCCATGTTGAAAGTGGATCAGCCTCCAGCAACGCCGACATCCATGCAAAAAAAGCGCGACTTTCCATCAAAGCCGCATTCAGGCTTGCTATAATTCATTTACTCGAAATCCGTCATTTCACTCCATCTCAACATCGACCCTAACCCTCGCCTCTCACCTCTGGCATCTTTGCTCATTGTCGTAGTGAAAGTCTTTGACCAGCCAAACGACCTGCAAAGTTGAGCTGCTGAAAGAACCCTGGCTTAATCCTTCTTCATGCCGTTCATCAGACCGTTGGTCAGAGGCGGTGCCTTGGCGGCAGCAATAGCTTGCTTGTTCGCGAGCTGCTTCTCCTTGGGAATAGTCAGAGCGTTGATGCCAAGGAAGTTGCAAATACTCGTGATGACCAGGTATGCCCAGCGGAAGTAAACGACGGCCGAGAAGATGAAGTAGCCGTAAAGATAGTACAGCTCAGTCTGGGCACTGATGCCCGGGAGGCCCAGACGTGGAAGGTTGGCAAGCGCGGCACCACCAACAAGGGGTACAAGCATGACAGTCCAGTAAGGGAAAGGCTGCTTCGTGAGGTGGGCGAGAATCATCTTCGTAGTCAAGCGGCCGAATACAAAGGCCATGGTGACACAGAAGAGAACAAGGTGGTTATCGCTACGGATGGCCGAGTACGGCGAGTAGACCCAGGCGCCAATAGCAAGGGTGTACACTGTCATGGGCGTCCACTCGAGGAAGACAGGGGCTACGGGCTCACCGCGCGAGCGACGGGCCTGAATAACGTGGAGAACGCAGAAGGGGATGTGGGTTGCGAAGAGCGAGAAGACGATCATGGCAATCCAGATGTCCCGAATCGAGTAATCTCCCAGCAGGTAGTGGAAGCCATAGAGATGCTGTTCGGCCTTGTCGCCAAGGATGTTGATGATGGGCTCGGTCCAGATGCCAGGGCCGTAAATTCCAGAGACAACCATGACGCTGCAGGCGATCAGGATACCTTCGGTTGGACCGTTGATCCTGCCCAGGTAGAGGGTGTGGGTGTGGTATGTCTCCCAAGTCGAGAAGAACATGGGCAGGCATGGGACGAGGGCCGTAAAGACTCCAGACTTGGAAGTGCCGAGGCCCATGGCAGCAGTCTCGAGAAGACTGGCCAAGGTGCAGTTCAGGGAGTCAATGCCGTGGTCGAAGAGCTCGCCAAGTCCGCTCGAGGTTCCGGTGCGTCGCGCTTGCTTGCCGTCGAGGTTGTCCATCGTCTGGTACATGAAGAGACCGAAAGCGAAGCTGTAGTATAGCCATGAAGGGCCCTATCGACACGCGAATTAGCCGGGCTGTCCAGACCTGCGATCTGGCTTTGGCCGGGAACTCGAGCTTGACTTACCGGTCCTACCAAGTCAGGCATGAAAATGACCAGGAGGCCAATGTTTCCGAGGATCATGAAGAAGCCCAGCAGAGTGACCATGTTCGGTGCCAGCCATAGCGGCAGAAGCTCGACGGCAGCATTCCACTACGATGAGGCTTGGTTAGCAATATGTTGGAGAAATGCTGGAGTCGAGGCCGCTCGGACGGCGCGGGGCAGCGGCGGGTAGGAGGGGAAAAGATGGTCGGAGAGGCTACGCACGTAGGGTCGGAGGATGTAGTTGGAGATGGGCGACTTGTCGACGGCCGAGTACTTGTAGGACTTGAGGTGGATGAGGGCATCATCCGAGATGCATTCGGCGGCAGCCGTCCCTGTAGGATGAATTGTTAGCTGTCGTCCACGTATGAGGTTCCACCATAGCTCCCAGACAAGCTTTCTCGCCCTCAATTGTATGCGCGCACTTTGAAGGTGACGCCGAGGCCATCCAGGTGCCCTGGCGCATATGGCGAGGTCAGTCTCTGGGGGAAGAGGGTTCGTGCTTACTGTCTGAAGTTGCGGCGCCCATGGCTGTGAAGAATTGCGTCAGAGACACAAAATCGAATCGATGTAGAATCTCAGGTTGCGGCGGGGGGAAGGAGATGGAGGGGGAAGGTTGAGGAGGAATGCCAGAGGCAGGAGAGTGGGATGTAACAACGGCCGTGGGGAAAGGAGGGGATGGAGGAGGTATTAAGCAGAGGGCCAAAGGTAAATGGAGGACGGGAGCCACGAGAGGATTGCTCGGCTTCCACCGCAAGTTTGACGTGCAGTGCAGACTTGGGATCGAAGGTGTGTAGGTAAGGTAAGGAAGGAAGTACCTTATTGAGTTCGCATCATAAGGCAGGCCGTGCCGTTGGCTCCCGTCCAGGTGTCTCTCTGCCTCTCTTTTTTTTCTAATTCTTTTTTTATTAGGGGTGAACAAGTGGCCGGGGTCAGGCAGATGAAGTGGATTTGCGGTTGCGACCAGCAGCAAATGGCACGCACCGCAGGCACAAGCTTCTCTTTCGGGAACAAATCAGATGCACCTCAACTTTGTCCAGAGGCCTGGGGCGGCCGGGGCGAGGGGCGGAAGGAGGGAGGCTCAGTTTGCCGTAGGTACGCGGCCGTCGACGTGCGTCAATCCAGCGGCTCCAGCCCACCGCCGCAGCAGGAAGAACCACGTCGGCGGATACGTACCCCAAGTCCCAGTCCCAGTCCCAGTCCCAACTCCCAATGGAAGTACCTTACTCCGTACCCAAGGTAGGTAGGTACCAAGGTTGAAGTCCACCGGGAAAGGAAGCTCGTGATTTCCCTCCTCGGTCTTCGTCTTCTCCTTCCATTCTCGTACCTCAAGACGCATTCAACTTCACCTCTACCATCATCATTCATCACCGCTTTCAATGCCAACTACATCACTTTGACACTTACATCATAAAATCCACGTCCACAGTACTAACAGAAACCACAGCACACCCCAATTGCGAGACATTCACGTCCTCTCGCCATATTTCCCCTGCAGGAAATCACATGGGCCCATCTGATCCTCGACACGCACAAATCAGAGGTCTGACGGACTGCGACGACCGCACCACTGCGGCCGATTTACGCTCATACGGCCCCGCCCATCTCGGCGTTCAACAAAAATCTCAGAAAGGACCCTATTAAAACACACCAGCTCCCAAACGCCCCAAGCTCCTCACCTGTTTCTTCGCTCCTCAAGGCCCCGAGACAGAAAACATCCAATCAACGCCGGCTCACACAGGGATTCTCCTCGCGTTTACCGCCTTTTTACCGCGCCTTCCTTGCCCACCATTGGATCGATATCATTGATTTCACCATCCGGGGGCTCCTCCGACGGCCCTAAATTCGCCTCCAAACCTCGAACCGATGCAGACTTGACCGTTCCACCACTGGACATTGGAACCCAAGGACTCGATGCTACCCACTCTACCTACCTTAGTCTCTACATCATACGCGCATTGACCGGTAATTAGCATGTGAGAGCCAACCTTCGTTCCGTCTGGACTCTGGATTCTGGAGCTGCCCCAGAAAGAGTTACGGTGCACATCGGCAAGGTAGCACCGGGCCCTGCTCACCAACACACCGAGCCCGCCCGCCTACCTCCACATAAACCTTCCCCGCCAGGATATGAGCTTGCACCGGCCGATGTTCACTGGGTTTGGTGTCAGATCGTCTGGTTGTCGGCCCCCAAAGAATCTCACTGGGCAGTTGGTTTTCTACTTGTGCAAAAGCCTGGTAGACGCTCCTGCACGATGACATGCGAGTAACCCTCCTTCGTCTTCCCCTCGACCAGCCTTTGGCACGCCGTAGCTCAGCCCCAGATCGAGGCCGTCGAGATCGGGGCCGGCCTGGCTCGCGCTGACCTTACCGAATGCTGATCCCCGTGACCCCCGCTCCGGTATGTATGGCGGCATCAGACTTGCATGTGGCACAGGCCGGCTGGAGTCCTGGACGACGCCTTACTGGTCACCTATTTGACTTGTCTGGCTTGTCGATAATTCCGCCTGCCCGCTTACAGGTCTTCGGAACATGTGTGTTGAAGTTTGTCTGGCTCTCATTGGTGCCCGCGATGCAGTTACACCAGCAAATTCCGATGCTGCCTTTACCACGGCTCTCACACATCGCAATTCTCCGTCCCGAGCCTCTTGCTAGCGATGGTAGTCTATGCAGGCTAATCTGATGTTACTTGCAATCTAGGACAATCCACATCACGGGAACGATCCTCAGACGGGATGAACGGGACGGATGGTCTCGTGCTCAGCCATTAGATAAGACCTGACGGATTCATCGGCGGCTCGCCGGTACAACGGAGACGCCTGGCAACACTAGTTCATTGGGATGATGGGATGACAAGCCAAGATTTCAAGACGAGCGAGGGGACCTGCTTTGTTCATGAAGCTCAACTGCTTCTTCGCTTCTGATTCCATTCTTTTTTCTCTCTTTCAATCTTTCTTCTGCTACTGCTCTGCTCTGCTCCCGCGAAAGATGACGCACAACGCTAAAGACAGATTTGCCCGACCCAGATCATCCCCGCTCCATTGCCTGTGTGTGTTCTGCCCGAAAGTATTAAAAAGACATTATTTGTTTGGTTGATCCAGAGGCCCATGATTCAAAACAACTCGCCCATAAACGCCGAGCATGTGATAAAAAGCTTTGTGCAAGAGGGTATTCAAAAGAGCGGACGTGACAGAACACACGGCAATAAACGACGCTTCTTCCTCCACCATTCTTCCTGCTTCCGTCTCTCTTTTCTTCTTAGTTTTCTTTCATCTCCCGAAGCAGATCGGTAGCGTGCTGACTTAGAGCAAGAGAGCAGCGCCGCCAATCAAGCTACCGACGAGGACAGCCAGGCCAGCGCTGCGACCCATTTCCAGGGCCGCGGCGCCGCTGCCGGACGACGAGCCGGAGGAGGAGGAGCCGGAGTCGCCGAGGCCGGTGTAGATGGCGCCGCTCGTCTCGGAGGCCGTCGCAGAGGCGGTGGCCGTGCCGGCGGTGGAGGTCGAGTTCTGGCGGGTAGGGTTCTGGGCGCCGCAGGGGTTGTTCTGGCGGCAGTTTGACGCGCACTGGTTGGCGCCGAGGCCGCAGGCCTTGACGCACTGGTTGCCGTACTCCTGGCAGACGTGGTAGGGCAGGGTGAGGGAGTACTCGGTCATGTTGGGCTGGTTCTTGTCGCCGCAGATGCAGCCGTAGGTGAGGGTTTCCTGTGTGGGGGGAAAAGAGGTCTGGTCAGCTTGGATCCTTCATGTTTTTGCTGCTGACGGCGTTTGCTCCTTACAGGGTCGCAGTCGTTCACCAGGGTCGTCCGGGGCTCGACCTGCTGGCAGATGATGGGGCATGTGTTCTTCTCGTCGGCGCACCAGGCCTCTGCAGGTTTCCTATTAGCATACTGGCCAAATCACCAACCACCGGGTAAGTATTTCCGGGGGAACATGGGTAGCAAAAATTCGTACTTCTTGTGGCCAGAGGAACGGATGAGGGCTCGACGTAGTAGTCGGCCTGGGCCGTGGCGACAAAGGCCGCGGCAACGGCGAAGACGGTGCTCTTGAACGAAGGCATTGTTATTTGTTGGGATGCGTATATGCTGAATCGGTGTCGAAAAAGATCCCTTTTGGGTGTATGTACGGGCAAGTTGTTATTGTTGTCGTTGAAGGGGAAAAAGATTCCCAAGAAGATTTGACAAGATTCAAATATTAATATCGACTGTAGTGCGTTTCCTGGTCAGCAATCCGTCTTGTGTATGTTTATAGACATCATCTTTTCGTCCCTATGCAGTCCTTTTGCTGCATTCCTAAAGTCTCCCCAAGCCAGGCCAAGGTCTGGAGGGGGGCGATTCGTCCAACGCCTATTCGGGCCAACAACACATGGCTTTTTGGCCCAATTTAGGGTGATTGGGGCGGGCAGGCGGGCAAAGGGGGCGAGAGCTATGAACGAGGCGTTGAGGAATGGGCGGTTTTGACTTACGCACTAATAATAAAATGGAGCCCGTTCGTTGCTGACGAAAGTGGACTGGGTTGACCGACAAGGTACTAGTAGCGATAGTGAGGCTGGAAAATCGGTTTGTTTTGTGCCGTGTGTACAAAGTAGGCAACTGGCGATGCTGGAGCGACTGAGATATGAAGAGTTCGGGGGAGAGGATGAAGAGGTTCGGGTGAAATATATGTGCAGACACGTTATTCAACTGTGTAACGACAGACCGAGACAAGACGATACAGACACACGCGGAGGGATTCAGGAGGTGAAAGGTGGAAAAGGGAGAGGAGAGAAGAGAGGAGAAGCGGAATGAGAATCGTCAGAGAAGTTGATGGTTCATATTCAAAAAAAGCCCCGGGGCACAGAGCCGTGGGGAGGAAGGCGAGAAGGAGCAGACAAGCCGGACGCACGACTTTTGCCAAGCGGGCACTAAGGTTGACTAGCACATATTCGAGGTGGTAGTATGCTCGTTCGGACCAGGGCCTTGTCGGGAAGCTTCTATTCGCAAATCCACATTGAAGCACCCGTGGTATTCCGTACGGCACAAAATAAAGGAGGCCCGGGGTCGTAGGTACAACTCCATGGGTCCTGTCCTCTCTTGCGATAATCCACAGGCAGGCATTTGCATGGGAGTCTATAGAGAGGAGCCGATTGACTGTCGAGGAGGACCGAGAAGAAAAACAGGCAGAATTGGGTTTAGCACGTTCTCCACGCCAGCCACCCGGCGTATTTCCTGCTGGTGGTTGTGCGGTCGTGATGGTGTGGTGCTCCGTACTCCGTACGTACAGATACCGTTTCTCGAGAAAAGGTCCCAGGGTCGAGAAAAGGAGCTAAAAATTGGCCAGGGTTCGCTTGGGGTCTGTTCATCGGCATCCCATCACCCCCCCTGATGCCCAATCACAGGATGAACCCTTCCCCTGCTCTTGGGGATCGGATGGAGAATCATTGACTTTTTTATTTCTTCTCACTTCTCAATGTATTTTCCCACCATGCACCTGTGATGCATCTGTACACTATGGTACGAGGCGTTCGACGTCGAGGGCAGCGCGCCTCTCCACAGGCCACCATCTCCAGAACCAAGAGTCACCACTTTTGTCTGACCGGAAATCATGGGTTGCTGATGGGCGAATATCGATAACGTGAGGGGAACCCAGCTTGAGCTGTGGCCCGCAACCTGTCTGGCATGTCTGTCTCTGGCCGCCCTTGCCGTTGACCCGCTTGAATGGTAGGGAGGTATGGTTGTTTGTGGTTATGTCTCTGGAGCCCTAGGGTGCCTCGTCCTCAAAATTAGGCAAGTCAGAAGCGCTCTATCTGCACTCCGTAGACTCTTTAATATTGTTGGAAGCAGGATTGATAGGCCGTGGCAAGGTCGGGTTGGTGTGTGAATGCTTCTTCGAGGGTGACTCTCGTAGCGGCTCTCTCTCCCGTGGTCTGTCTTGGTCTTGTGTTTCTATTCGGTGGATATTGAGGCTTAGCAGAGGAAGGGTTCAGTGGGAGCATGCCGCTCTCTGCAGGGATCCATGGATTCATTCCATGGCCCGGGGCAATTGGCTTTTTGCGTCGCCGCCGCTGCAACACTGCAGTCTGCACTTTGTCTGCAGCACCGATGGCACTAAAACGATTGTTAGCGTCTCCTTACTTGTGCCGCTAAAGAGATCGGGTGTCCATTGTTGCCCGGAGATGAATCTCCTCTCCACAAACTGCAACTTTGCACCGCGCGAACCCACTGAACACCCATCCCGACTCCAAACTCCAGGCCTCTTTTCCCACCATTGCCGCAAGAAACGAGCGGTCTGATTATTCTGTCCGATACTCTGTATCCTCTGCCCCTCTGTATCCGCAGCGTATTCTCAAATGCCGGTCTTGAGAGTGAGCAGACATGGCAGGGAATAGTCAAGGTGTCAAGAGGCGAGCCTTTGCAGCCTTGCCGAGGTTGCGGTGACGGCTTCTATCGACTTTTGGCTCGTTAATTTGCAGCCCCGGACCCGTTTGAGATTGGAAGGCCCGGCCTGTCCGTCCTTCGCCATTCGCCATATCTTTGCTGATCCCACAGCAATCCTCCTCTGAGGCTTGCCTGGCTCAATTCCAGCCCCGGCCTCTGCTGGTCTTGTGGAAGCTGCCCATGCGTAGGTAGGCATTTCATCCAGTCAGCGGCGTCAGCTAGACATTCCTGTGCTCGTTCGTATCCCCACGATATGTCAGACATCCTGACGACGACGACGAATCCGTGTCTATTCTGCCTGTCGGCTATTCCTTCGAAGCTGTGGCGCATATTCGTAGATACGGACACACGGAGTCATCGAGAATCGAGACTCGAGACCGTATCCTTCCGTATTCGAGAACGAACCAGCCGAATTCCCACTTGAGTGCGACTTTGCAGGTCGGATGACCAGACCCATTGTTGATTACGAGGTTGCAAAACACTGGAACTGTCTCGATGCTCTCCATAAAATGCGGCGTGAAAGTTATGGAGCCAAGACCACCTTATTGTGCAGTACACTTCGCCGCCAAACAGGGCCAGCCCCTCTTAATCCTCCCCTTGGCTCCTTGTTAGCACAACTTTACGAGACCACCATCTGCAACGTGCACTTTCTGCGTAGCGAGACAAGACTCAGGATTTAAAAAGTGTTGCCTATCGGCCTGACGGGAAGCGTCTGGGTGAGTCTGTGGGTTTCTCCCAAACGCCAGCATTTTTCTTTCTTGAGGGTCTTGACACCACTTGCTGAGTTCAATGATGTGTAGGGAGTATCCGTAAGAAGCACAGCTATCGCTGTTCGCGGCGTCCCACTGGCTGATCGCCACTCGTATTCTGCAGTCTTGTCCCCAACCAAGGCCGCTGTGCAGGACAGCCGATGCAGCTAGTATGTATGATTGTGCCGTCTAGAGCAGCTCGGTGGACGTCGGCTGTTTGAAAGTTCATCTTTGTCCACGACACAGTGAGATCGGAAGGGCTGGCAATGACTCGCTGACTCCAGAGGTTCAACTTGGATATTGAGGTGGTTGGCTCCGCCCGGATCTTGTCTGTTGCCTCCGAGACCCCTTCCTCCGGGGCGACGATCCCAAGCCCCCCAACGTCTCCGCATCGATGCCTCTCTCTGTTATTTGTAGACAGGTCGTAGAAGAGCGCTGACAACACACCGTTGACGGCAAAAATGCCCTTCGAAGTTCGAAGTGCCACTGGGCTGCCTGTGGTAGATGTCAAGAATGACAAACTGACCGCCACAACTGAACCTGTCAACTTGGCATGGTTTTGGCGGCTACGAGCAGATGCTACTTGTACGTCGGGTTGGGTTTTCAAAACTAGAGGTCTTGGGTCTGGCCGTGATGTCGTTACAATGCACTTTGCAAGTACCGAGAAGCCTACCAGCCGCCAACAGGGACGAACTGGGGTAGACGATGTAGAATCAGAATGGAAGCCGAAGACTCAACCCCCTGCTCGACAAGATGCGCTAGTCGAGAGGTGTCGTGGGTGTCAACCCTCCAACTCCACCGCGGCTTGGTTTCTGCTGCCACTTGCTTCGTATCCGCACCGATGTGTTGGGATTCGGGAGTGTGCTGCGTGTAACCGTAGTGTACGTGTCGATAGCGCGGGAGGGGCCTTCTGTTGTCGCACCAGACGGGATCATGACCAATGTCTTCTGGAGATCTCATCCTAAGCACCGCAGCCGGTCTTCTTTCTGGCGTGGTAGCTTATAAGATATCAACATCACCTCGTCAAGATCCTTAGGCGAATGTTGTCAAATTCCGAGAGTCAGTCGTCGGTGTGTGGGGGGCAGGCATCAAGAACGTGTAGAATGGATGAGCTTTCAAGAAGTTGCAAAACAGCTGTGCAAGGTGCAGCAGTTTCCCGCGTAGAGGATGGCAGTTTTGCAGATCGTCTCGTACCTTATCCCAGGTTGGCGAAGAAAAATTGCGGATAGTGGTACGAACGATGTGGTCAATTCTCATCTAATGGCAGTGACACTTTATTACCATTCGAGTTTCGTTATCTCCGGACCTTCCTCTATTCCCGATTTCCCAGGGAAGGTTTTAGGGAAGGAAGCTACTATTGTTCATCAGCCAAACAGAAGTCACTGTCTCAGAGGGGTCCTTCCTTCCTTGCACGAACCAGCAGATGTGAGGGGAAGAACGAGCCGCAGGGAGGTACGAATACTAAGGCTGGTGGTAGAAGCTTTTCTTATCGTCGTGCTTTATCCGCATGGATCTCACCCGGGAAGCTGTACCTAGGTAATCATTTTGTAAACATTTACTCTGTCTCGTCTAAAGAGTACTCTCAACCGTCCTGGGATCGAATCGATTTCTTCTAGCGACGAAGCTGTGCTAACTAGCGCATTGTTTGTTCCTCGTTGTGCTCTTCTTTGCCAAACTCACCCCTCAGATGTCATTCGCAGACCCGTTACATCTCACGGGCCGACTAATTGCCGCCCCAAGGTAGCATCACCGGCAACAAACCACACAGTCAACATTCCATCTTCTGCCCGCCTGCTAGCCAAAGTGGCCGCCATTCCACTCTTGGTCGATCTGCACAGCCACGCGGCACCACCCTAAGAGAACGGCGTCCAGCAAGCGCCCCGAGACAGGTCTTTCGTCAAGCTACCTACCTAAGACTCTTGATATCGTCATACGGCCAATACGTCACAATCACCTTGCGCTTTCGCTGCCCTCGAGCAAATCGCATCTTCAACACAACATAACATCACGGCTGTCCATGAGGTACCATCCTCACACATGGATTCATGGACTCGGCGATAGAATCCCAGTTCCGACCGAACGGCGGACTCAACGGCGGCACAAACGGCCATATTAGACCTTCACACAAGGTTGCTACAGACGGAGCCATTCGAGGGTTACTTTCGCGTCAGAACAACAATGACACACGAGGCGGATTGTTTGGAGACGAGGAGGATGAAGAGGAAGAGACAGAGTCGCCAACCGAGTCGTCCGTGACAAGTCCATCATCAGTGACGTCGCCACCGTATTGGCTCGGCCACCACCAGCGCTCGGTTTCCAATATCTCGGTCGAATCAGTACTACCCGCCGGCGCGATCACAATGCACGATAACGAAGCGAGCGATGTCAACGGTCGAAATCGAGCCTGCTGGGCAAAGAGCGTCGAGATTACCGACTACGTCGTGGTGAACGGCAGCGCAACCAACATTGGGGCGTTTGTTGTTTGGAACATAAGAGTCGAGACATTGCAAGTCAGTGATATCCCTGGCTAGAAGAATAAAGGCCCAAAGAGCACAATCCGAGGTACGGGCGCAGTTGCTGACAAGCCGTGTGCAGGGGAGCTATATGAACATCCGAAAGCGATACTCCGAGTTCGACGACCTTCGCGAAAAGTTGGTCAAGACGTTCCCGAATTTCGAAGCAGCAGTACCACCTTTGCCACCCAAAAGTGTGATATCCAAATTCCGGCCCCGTTTCCTCGATAAGAGGAGGGCAGGGCTACAATATTTTCTCAAGTGCGTCTGGAAATGCATGTGCAGTAGATGCATTTCGGATGGTTGCTAACGATTCACAGTTGTATAATGTTGAATCCCGAGTTTTCTGGGTCGCCAGTACTCAAGGAGTTTCTCTTCTCGTAATGATAGTGTCTGAATACCAAAATCAACTTACTTCACCTTCTTGTACATCTTTTTGGAGATACATCGGCAGAGCTGGATACGGCCAGGTATGTAGGGCGTCTTTCTCACACAGGCGTCGAACGGGCAAAAGAATGATGGCCATCTGCACGTATATAGCGGTTTCAAACCGGTTGGACCATGCAAAAACATCAATAATAATAATAATGTTTTGCACGATGAACCATCTTCCCACGACGGTTGTTGTTGAAATATCTGCCCGTACCGAGAGATCAGTGACAGTGGTGACGATAGATCATCGGATGGGTAGCCGCCAAGCCCGTTGCCGGAAAAGTCTCGGCGGCCGCGGCCGCGTGGGGTACAGTGGAGATGCCAGAATAGGGCAGGACGTAAAGATGCGCCGCCGGACATGGTCCGTGGCGATGTGCTGTTCCCGCCGGCGTGAGTCGGGCCACGCTGGTTGGGCTTTTGAGGTGGCTCCCCACAGATTGACGCGTAATGTTCAGCAGGATGTACAGGGCTGGGGAGCGTCACTGCTGACTGGCAGTTGAAAACGTGAGAATGGTCAAGGGTCTTTTGGGGTCCAAAGATCTTTCCTTGCAAATTGAACAAGATCGAGGCACAAGAAAGCCTAACTCAGCCCCGTTTCTCTTCGTAAAGACAGCGGTAGGAAAAAAAAACTAAGCCTAGCGTCTAGTCGTCTATAACACAGGGGACTTTGGATAGATTTGCTATTTGCGGATGGTCGTTACGATATCCGCTCGTTCCAGGTCCCTCAAGATTGCAGTTGGTAATACGCTGCTGGAGGTCACCACCTATTCGGGAGGTTCTGCGGACTGCGAAGGGCACCGGTGACACGCGCATAGACAGACGGCCGCGTGCCGACGGCCCCCATCCGCGATTCCGAGCAAAACAGTCCATCGTGCGTCACAGCCCGCGGTGTGGTATACACGCCAGCGGTAGTCGGCTGAGCAAACTTGATCACTGAGTTTTCTGCTTTTATGCTGTCCAGAAACAGTTGGCAACTTGGCACTGCCGTCGCCCCTAAGCCTTACTCTTCCACCCCACCGGCAAGGGTGTCCCCCGTGGTACCTCATGATGCAAGGCGGGCAAGTGTTTGTTTTTTTGCGTAGTGTTTTTTCTCCTTCCAGTAGACTCTGTTCATTGTCTTGTCATTAAGGCGTCGCCGAGATTTAATCCCATGCCACCGGCGAGGATCTGAGAGCGCCCCACGAATGCAATATATTCTCGATCGGTCACTCCTCCTGGGCGCATTCTTTACACTGCTTTTTGCTCTCCCTCCTTCTCCTTCTCTTCCAATTTTAGACCGCACGATTTCCCGTTCTGCTTTACCTTACTCAAGTACTTTGACATCCATGTCCTTACAGCCGTACGGATAGTAATCATTATATGCTTACTTCAACCCCATCTCCGTTCCATCTTATGGCTCCTGCGCTTTATTACACGCTCAAGCTACTGACTCCATTCCACCCTCAACCTTGCGGGTGACTACCCCAAACAGCTATTAAGGAAAGTGACGTCGCTGTTGCTGTCTCCGAAGAAACACCAACCTTGGAACCAACATAAGCTCCAAACCCAACCAGCAGCAAGAAAGTCATAGTTCGAAACGAAACAGACCACCTAACGCAACTCACCTAATCCACACACACACTTGCACACACACGCACACATACATAAACCGACACTTAGAGATAGGCCTGATGCCTGCGCCAACCGGCTCTCGGATCAGATCCCTATCCCTACTCTTTCGTCACGACCGGGCGGACCCCGCCATTCCACCAACCGCCATGACGAAACCCGCCCACGAGCTCGACTCTATACCGGTTCCAGCCCAGCAACTTGCTTCTGGTGGCGGTGCCGTGTCTCCGAGCGACGCTTCTGCCTCGTCTGCGCCCACGTCTGCGTCTGCACCACCACCACCCCAAAAGACCCCTCTTCTTCACCAAAAGGATGCTCCTTTTAACGGTGCCGCCGCCGCCGTTATTACCCCGCCGGCCAGTCCCCCCGTGCCAAGACCTGTCGACGAACAAGACGAATCCCACTCCATCTTTTCCCCTGCTGCTACTGCGACTACCACTACAGATACAACCGCCGCCACAGCAGCCACCACTCACACGGCTGATTCTGCAACGGCCCCTCCTAGTGACGACACATGCTCATTGGCGCAGTCGCAGACGAGCACAAACTACAGTTCTCGCCAGGAGTACATGGACAGTTTGGTCCCGCCGTCCCAAGATCAATTTGAAAAGATTGCAGAGGTACAACGCACGCGCGAGGAGGAGCTAAAGAGGAATAAGTCGAAGCGCCAGACACAACACCTCCACGACCACTTTCACAACGTCCGACGCTCACAGGACGGACAAAGTGACGCTGCCGGTGACATTTTCGACGAAGCGCAAATAATGTCGCAAGATCCACCGCCAGCTTCAACCAAAGAGGGTGAACAGGGCGACAGCGAAGCGATCAACAGGGCCGCGGCGCTGATCCAGCGCAACTACCGGGGTTATCGCGTGCGGAGGGAGATGCAGGGCATGGGGCTGAACGCATCGACGAGATGGGTCTCGGCCATTGACGAGCTGCAGTTCCGCGAGCTGAACCGGCCGCGCGCAAAGAGCTCCGTCGGCGCTGCTGCTTTGTCTCCCACCGGCGACAGACACAGCGTGCTTTCGAGAGACGAGGAGGGCGGCATGAGTCGTCCGTCGACGGCCCGTGAGAACTGGAGGAAGGCGGCGACGATTGCGCGGCGCGCGGGCCACGACGATGTCGAGTCCGACTCAGACTCCTCTGCGTCCTCGTCTGAATCAGATACGCCCGAGAAGAGAGCCGAGAAGAAGAAGAAGCGCGAGGAGGCCGTAGCGAGGCGGAAGAAGGATTCCAAGATGATGGGGTTGCAGTATTTCCTAGAGATGGTTGACCTCAAGCATCGCTACGGGAGTAACTTGCGCGTGTACCACGAGGAATGGAAAAAGTCCGACACAACGGAGAACTTTTTCTACTGGCTCGATTACGGCGGCGGAAAGAACGTCGAGATGGAGGCGTGTCCCCGCGATCGTCTCGAGAGGGAACAGGTGCGCTATCTATCCCGCGAGGAGAGACAATTCTACCTGGTCCAAGTCGACGACGAGGGGCGACTCTGCTGGGCCAAAAACGGCGCGCGCATCGACACAACCGAGGCATTCAAGGACAGCATCCACGGCATCGTGCCCGCAGACGACCCGACGCCGGCGTGGTCTCAGAACAACACCCCGCAAACATCACCCGGAGCCGAAGCCGCCGACGATAGCCGCTCCGAATCCTCGGTAGAGTCCGCATTAGAAGCAGATCGCGCGGCAAAGTACGCCACGCCCGAGGTCGACGGCGCGACGGGCATGAAGAAGGTATCGCACATCTCAGCAGCGACAATCTTCAACAAGATGCTGCGCAAGTCGGTCAAGAAGAACACGTGGATCTTTGTCGCGGACACGAGCTTCCGCCTGTACGTGGGCATCAAGGCGTCGGGCGCCTTCCAGCACTCGAGCTTCCTGCAGGGCAGCCGCATCTCCTCGGCGGGTCTCATCAAGATCAAGGACGGGCGGCTGTCGAGCCTGTCGCCGCTCAGCGGGCACTACCGCCCTCCGGCGTCCAACTTCCGCGCCTTTGTCAAGAACCTCAAGGAGGCGAGCGTCGACACGTCGCACGTGTCGATATCGAAATCCTACGCCGTGCTCGTCGGGCTCGAGGTCTATGTCAAGTCGCGGCAAAAGGGCAAGAAGGCGATCGAGAAGATGACGCACAAGAAGGAGAAGATTATGGAGCCGGAAGAGTTCCGGAAGCGCGAGGAAGAGGCCAAGGATAAGAGCGAGAGCGCGGCCAAGGAGCGGAAAGTGCTTGAGAAGGAGGCCGAGGAGAGGGAGGAGAACAAGGCTGCGGTCAAGTTGCTGCGGAAGCTGAACCTGGCCCCGCAGGTGCCGACGGGTCAGAGGAGTGGTGAGGGCGAGGAGGAGGGGAGGGAGGAGCCTGTGATGGAGACGTTGGCGGAAGAGAGGACGAGGGAAGACACGGCTGCAACTTCTTCTGCTGCTACTCATCCCACTGCTTCATCTGCAAGGGCCTAGGTCGCCTCGACTTGTGTCTGGATTCGGCGTGGTGGGTAAGAGAGAATGGGCTTTAGATCCATGGAGGTAACGGGCTGATTGGATTATGGATTGGGTAAAGTCGTGGTTTTTTGCTTCAAGAGTTCTTTATACCCCCCTTGCACGGCCTTGCTTTGGAAAGCAGTATTCTGAGCGTTTAGAACGAGAGGTAGATGACAATGTCTAATGAGTAGTCTATGATTGACGATGCATTTTTCCCCTCAACCATTCGCCTAAATCCCTGCATGTTCAAGATCATGTTCCCCTCACCACTGAGCCGAACGACTACCTTATATAAACAATACCTCAGGTACGTGACGAAAGCTCTCTAGCCGCAAAGTGTTCCAAGCCACGTTGCCATTCCGGGCTTTGAAGGGACTGGTGCCTCATCCTATTTTGCGGGCCTCAGAGATCTTGCTGCCCCGGTCGTGGAGGCATGCACCCCTTTGCGTTTCCCTAGAGCCTCTTAGACAGTCTCAAAGGTGATTATTACCACGTCGGGTTATCAATAGTTCGCCTCGTGAACATATTCGTTAACGGATATATTTCGTCTGAACGAGAGTGCGTGACTATGGTACTTCTTCCTTAGCTTTTGATATTGTAAGTATATTTACTAACGAATACGCCTAGTACGAGCAAGGGTATGGAGGCTATAATAACTCTTTGCTAGTTTCCTACCTCGTGGTTTTGTTTATTAAAGAATATGCCTGGTACGAACAAGGATTCAAAAACTATCATACCTCCTTATTCATTTCTAATCTTATGAACCTAGCTACTTTATCTACCAGTATCCCTGGTCTTGAAGAGGGCTTGAAATCTTCTTTGTTACCTGATTTATGTTTTGCTCCGTGAGCGTCTCTGTTATTAAGCCTGTTTTTCTTTTGCCACGGACACAAAGCGAACGCTGGGAAGTCTATCTCTTAGAAGGGGAGCTTTGAAGAAAGGAATGTGTCACAAAAAGGTTTGCAACCCACTTGAGGTGAGGCCTGGTAGCAAACCCCATTCCTGCAGATCGTGATAGGGTCGCCTCCTGGTCTCCACGGTCCAACAGCGGTGCTAGGTAGATGATTTTCGCCTTCCTCTTGTATCCTCTTGGAGTCTGGATAGCTTTGAGCAAGGCTTTTTGTTTCTTGGTGGTTGTTTGCATCATTACCAGCAGATAATCAACATGCGGTTTATGTTCTTGCTCCTTCACTTGTCAATTGACGTAAACAGTGTTGCCTATTCTTTTCTAGATCATCCTTCGAGCGCATTATGAGGCTTACTGTATGGCTCTTCAGAGCTCAAAATGGTTCTACCAGAAAATTCTGTGACTTACATAGCTCCTGAGCTGTCAGACCGGGCATCTGCTCTCGTTGAGAGATGGCATATTCCCACAGGGGGCGTAGGCCGCCGTTAGACTATGCTACCGTATTCACCATTCCGATGGTCTTTTGAGTTTAGTCGAAAGCTGAGATGATGTAGTCGTATGCAAAGATGTGTATGTCCCTTGATGTCCGATACCATTATCGAGGCAACGAGGCTGAAGACTATTGATCGACTGATCCACTCCATTGCATTTGAGCAAAAGCCCTGCCAAGTTTCAACAGTCTTCTGAGCGTTCGTGCATACATCAACGATATGACTGAACCTAAAAAAGAATTTTCATTGAGCGCAGTTCTCCCCAGAACTATTAATATTTTCCGGTTACTCTTGCTCTTAGCATACCGCACTTTCAACTTGGGTCCGACGTCCAGCCTCAGTATGACAACTTACACCTTCCCGTCATTTTGAACCAGCCAAGATGGCCGACGAGCCTTCCACTCGGCGTCGAAACCCCTTGTGGAAACGAGCTATTGCCTTCGAAAGCCGTTGCGTCAACAAGTTAATGGGACCAAAACAACAATCCACAAAAGCCTACCTTCTCAGAATTTCGATTGAATCACTGGAAGAAATCATCAGCCATCTCGACCTTCTGAGCCAGTTCATGTTTTCGCGGACCTGTCGCGCCGGTCGGATCCTCACACAAAAAGACTGGAAGGATGCCTCGCTAGCCCTACCCGAATCTGAACAAATATCCTTCTGGGCTGCGGTGGCCTACAAGCTGCCGAATCACTGGGTCTGCGCGCGCTGTTGCACACTCCACGAAACAGACCGTTCGGACACGCCGCGTAGCCAACAATCGCCGCCATGCCAGCAGGGAGAAACCCTCGATACCCTCGGCCGATCTTACAAGCTCCGACACACTCACATCGAACTTGCGCTCAAGTTCAGGCGCTTGGGCACCAACACGGCCTACCTCTCGGAGCTCCTGGAACCTTGCGAATACAGGACGTATCGAGGAGCTGGATCTTGGAAGTCGGGCTCGCCAAATGTTACTATTCACATACCGATAATCGTCGAGGGCAGGTTCTGTCTCCAAGTCATCAAGGAGTTTCATGGGTACGAAGCTCTCCACGAGATTCGATCCTTTAGAATCTGTCGACACCAGCTGTTCCCGTGGTGGTATTGGGGCATCAAGGACTGGGGCGTGTTTGAGAAGAATATGGAGGCGGCTTGGCATCGTCCGGGAAACGTGTACGATGGCCACTGCCAATGTTGTCCGGTCGACTACTCGATTCTGCGCGACGACGACGTGCTGCGAGTGACGTTGTGGTATGACTTTGGCACGGGTAAATCCCCGAGAGACTTGGAGTGGATGGTACACCTTGGCGACGAGACGGATATCTACAGCAACGGTCTTTACGTCAACGTCAAAGACCACGACCCTGGAAGCATTCGGAAGTCGTTTCAACAGAGCTCGTTCAATCATATGGTGCGAGGCGTGGTACGTGGTATGACACTCGGTTCACGAAAGTTATGCAGAACGGTACGCGAGGTTATGATGGCATACAAGCTGGGTTAAGCTCGATGAAGTTTGGTTCCTCACAGGACTAGAGCTCATTCTGCACTATTCTCGCCGAAGCCATTATATATACTAGTTTCCCAATACCTTAAGTCAATACTTGCTAGGCTTCTTACTGAATTGTACCGTGGCCTTCGACGAAGCTCTCCTCCTTCGACACCGAAGTTGCATTCACAGACGCAGCCACACCATTCCCAGACTTCTTATAGTACGGTCTGGGAAGATTGTCGTAATATGGTACGACAATGATGTTGGGATCACTGCTTCCTCCGACCTGAACATTCAGTTAATCTCATACTCGCCAAATCAAGAGACAAGACATGACAAAACTCACCATGGCCTTTGTAGTATTCTGATACGGCACATCAGACACCTTCAAATTCAGCAACGAAGGCTGCCTCGCGCTCGTCAATGTCCTCACCGCAACCTTGACGGATTCCAACGTCTTGGGCCCGTCGCTGGCGCCATTCTCCTTGACGACGTCCACCACCGCCCCCTCGCACCCAAACCCTTGCGCGACGACTTCGTACTTGACTTTGGGGTTCATCGCCACGCACGGCCGCTGCGGCGTCTTCTCCCCGTAAATCATGTTCTGTCCGGCCTGCGACATGCCCCAGACGCTGTTGTTCACCACGACTGTGAGGATGTTGAGGCCGAACTTGGCGTAGGTGTCGAGCTCGCCAATGTGGAAGCCTGCGCTGCCGTCTCCGTGGAGGTTGACGACTAGCTTATCTGGCGCGGCAACGGCGGCGCCTTTCTAAGAGTCAGCAAAGGGGCTTCTACGAGTAAAGATGTGTCACAAACCAAGCGAGTATCCAAATCCGTTGCCTAAGAAGCCTAGATATCCAGTCGTCACCATTGACAGTCCCGCCCTCGCCTCGTTCAGAGATTGTAGAGCCCATCCGCCGCACTCGCCACCGTCCATACAGAGAATGCTGTCTTCGGGCAGAGATTGGAAGAAGGCCTTCACGCCATGGTAGGGGTGAATCCGGTCGTTTTCCTCGATGATCACCGGGTCCTCTTCATTTCCGGCTGAGTGAACGCTCGGCTTCTTCAACGCCATGGCCTTTTCCACCCACTCACTTGTGGCCCTGACGGACGACTTGGATGCCTCAGCTGTGAGAGCCTGAGCTGCAAGCCCGACATCCGATACGATACCGACCTGTATTCAATCTAGTCAGCAAAACCGGCCCTCCCCCTGAAGCCATATATCGGGCAGGGGTAATATCTCACATCGATCTTTCTCGAGCGCCCAATCTCGCTCCCGTCCAGATCGACCTGCACAACCTTGGCTTCACTCTCGTTCGGCACAATCGCACCGCTCCTACCGCCGATCAAGAAGCCAGTCCTGGCCCCCAGCAGAAGAACAAAATCCGGAGCCGGTCCCTGAGCGCGTAAGAACGGAAGCCGAGTCGCCACGCCGCCGAAAAGAGGATGCGAGCGCTTGATGGTCGTAGAAAACTTGGGTGAGTGGAAAACCGGAGTATTCGTCGCTTCTGCGAGCTTCACTACGTCGTCCGCGGCCCTCCCTGCGCCAGTCGAGACTAAAATCACGGGGCGCTTCGCCTCACCCCAGAGTCTCATCGCCTGCTCGACCGCGCCGGCATCAGGGGCGGGAAGCGAAACCGGCGGCGCGGTGATAGACCCCCAAGCCACGCTATCAATCTCTACGGGCGTGAAGAGCACATCGATGGGAAAATCCACGAGTACCGGCCCAGGCGCCCCCGCCGTCGTCGCTCTCCAAGCCAAGCTCACGATGCGCGGGATCTCGCTGCCGTTCGTGACCCGGTGCGCAAACTTCGTCACGGGTTTCGCCAGGACGACCTGGTCGTGGAACCCTTGGAGGGTATTCGTCTCCGCATCGCGCAGCGGCGGCGAGCTCGTGATGCAGAATACCGGGGAGCGGTCCGCGAAGGCGGTGCTGAGACCCGGAAGGCCGTTGCAGAAGCCAGAGTTGGCTGTTATGAAGCAAACACCGGGGGCGTCGTTGCCCTTGACCTTGGCCCAGCCTTCGGCGGCCTGGACGGCGACGGTCTCGTGCCGCACGTCTATGAGCTTGATGTCGGCTTCGACGGCGGCGATGAGGAAGCTGTCCAGGTGCCCGCCTGTGGGTTGGTGTTAGTCTGATGAAGCGATATGATTCATTTACATAGAATCTCACCATGAATGCCGAAGGCAGTTGTTGCGCCGAGATGAGCTAGGGACTGAGCGAGAAGGTCTCCGCCGAGAAGTTCTCGATTCTTGGGCTGTCTCACTTGGAAAGCCATTGCTTACATGAATGCTCGAGATACTTTTGAGCGAGTGATCACAAATGGTGAGATTGAGCTGTCGTTTGATGAAAATGTGACGAGGTCGAGTTGAATATTATCCCCCATCGCAGCATTCTGCTCCAATGAACATCCGACCGAGCACTTATAAGCAATCGACCTCTAAATGCCGAGTGTCAAAGCAACGATGATGCGGGGGACCGCGGGAAGAGCGTGAGGGGGGATCATTGCTTGGCCCCGAGGTAAGTTGTACGTACATGTATCAAACAATGGCAGTGGCAAATGGGAGGAGTTGTGGAAATGATTACCCGTCGTCTCAAGGTAAGCCTTGAATTTTGTAAATATTTTGCGACATTGACTCTGATGGGTTGAGTCAATAATTGGGGTAGCGACTGACATCAGATGCTTGGAGGTCGGGCGAAGCAATCCTTGCATTGAGACGCGCTTACACGCACCCGGTGTATTAAAGGTTCCTTCTTCTAAGTTATCGTTGCCAAAATTCCACAGCGACCAACTTGATAGAAATCTGCATCTGTGTTCATGATGTTGTTTCTGCAATTGTCTTCAGGCATGATGCGTTAAGATGGGTCTTCGGTCACAAGGAGGCAAAGGCAAGGACAGCGTTAATTCATTTGACTGATTTGATTGGGACTATGGAAGTCTTGCGAGAGCTCTAATATGTAACCTCAACCTAAAAACTAGAAAAATCTATGATGCCCATTACCCCTAAGGTACATGATGTTGATGTAAAATGTATCTGATTAATGAAAGAGACTGGCTATGCGGTAGAGTCATTTACTGTAAAGTGGCGGAATGATTGGCTTCTCCTGAAGCGCTTCTGATGTGGCTCAGGCCTTCTTCTTGCCCTTGGGCATGCGGACCAGCCAGTAGAGACCCAAAGCAGCGACAATGTTGACGACAATGTACACCATGCCGATACCAAAGTCGCGCCATCTGTTGTCGAAGTTGGAGCTGATACCCTTGAGGAAGACGTTGGTATCGGCGATAGAGCAGAATTGGCAGTCAGCCGTGGCAGATGGGTCCTTGATATAGCCTCCCATGGAACCAATGTACCCTTCCATGTAAGTCTCGCAAGTCTGGTTGTTTGGCGGGTCGAAGTGGATGTACTCGTTCGTCGAGCACGTCACCTTGGAGTTTGCCAGACCCGTTGAGAGAATTGATGACAGTAGGTAAGTGAATGGTGACACCCTGTACATGAAGATCCAGAAGCCGGGCATGGCGTCAGGGCTGGCCAAGACACCACAGAACAGCAGACACATCATGAATAGGACGTTGGCGAGGTTACCACCCATCTCAGCAGTGTCCGTGATGGCGATGCAGGCATGGGCGAAAGTGCAGGTGAAGATCATGAACTGCCAGAACAGGAGCCACATGAGACCAGCGCGCTCACTCTTCTGGCTGGGGTCACCGTTCTCGTAGAGACCGACGGGGTAGTAGACGCAGATGAACATGAAGACGGACATCAGAGAGTTCCACGGGATCTCGGTAACAATTTGCGACATCATGAACACCTTCCAGCTGTAAGTCTTGGAAGGTCTTTCACGGACTTCGTAAAGAGAGCGTTGGGTGACGAAGTGCGGCATCTGTTGTTGCACGAGCTGACCGAAGATAGAAAGAATGTTGAAGATAGCGAACATCTGGTTCTGCAAGCCCTGGATACTGAGAGGTGCGTTGAGGAACACCAGGCCGATGAAGAGGGCGACGGAGCAGCAGAGGATGAACTTGGCGTACAGGTAAGAGGGAGTACGCCAGTACTGCTGGTAGACACGGCGAGTGACAATCAGGAATTGATCCCACAGCGGGGCGGCGAATTCGCGGTGTGCCAACTTCTCTTCTTCGGCGGACAAGTGCTCTTGGGGCGGGCTTTGAGTTTTGAGGCGGCCAAGTTCCTCTTGAACAGCCTCATACTCGGGACTAGACTTCCAGGCCTGGTGCCAATCGACATCGGTATGTGATCCGGGGGCAGCGCCAATAGCAGAAAGCATCCATTCAGCCGGGTTCTCGCCAGGAGGGCAGGCAGGGGCACCGTTCCTCTCGAAGTAAGATGTAAGGGTGTGAGAGTTCTCGCCGATGTCGCCAAAGTACACGGTTCTACCACCCTTTGCCAGGAACAGCAGACGGTCGAAGCGTTGGAACAACATGGCAGACGGTTGGTGAATAGTGCAAAGAATAGACTGGCCAGCCTTTGACAGCTTCTCAAGCAGATCCAGGATAGCCCATGACGTTTGCGAATCCAAACCAGAGGTAGGTTCATCGACGAAAAGAAGCAAGGGGGGTTTAGCAGCCAGTTCCACACCAATGGTAAGTCGCTTGCGCTGTTCGACGTTCAATCCCTCGCCGAGGACACCCACAACGGCGTCAGCGTAGTCCTGCATGTCCAAAAGCTTGATGACTTCGTCGACGTATGCCAGTTTTTCAGCGCGAGGGGTGGTGGCTGGCTGGCGCAAAAGAGCACTGAACTCCAATGCCTCACGAACAGTGCTGGTCTCGAGATGCAGATCCTGTTGTTGAACGTAGCCAGTACGGCGTTGGAAGGACTGGTCACGGATCTTTCCATCAACCAGCATCTCTCCGGTAATCACTCCCATGGAGACACGGTCTGCCAGACAATCAAGCAAGGTAGTTTTGCCAGCTCCAGAGACACCCATCAAAGCCGTAAGAGTTCCAGGTTTGACCCAGCCATCCACATGGTCCAGAATCCTGCGGGTTTCGGTCTTGATCTTGACATCGTAGCACACGTTACCCCAGTGGAAGACACTGGTGGAGCCTTGGATCGCACCCTCGTTGGCGGAGGCGCCTTGTCCGCCCTTCTCGACGATGGTAGCGGGTCCAGAGAGAGAGGATTCGGGGTCGTCCTTGCCCTTAACAGGGGCAGCAACACCACGACGGAAGACAAGAACCTCTCCCTTGGACTTCTTCGCGGCAATGTATTCGGTGGCAACGAAGTACAAAGCGTGGAGGGCGATAATGAAAGCGATGAGAATTCCGATGTTGCGCCACTTGTGAGAGTTGAAGTACTTGTACTGGGAGTTGATGTATCTGTCACCGTTGACAAACGGCTCGCCAGGAACGGCACCGACAGTGGAGCAGGCTCTGTTGGCGAGGGTAATGTTCTCGTAACCGGCAACTGCAGGGCTGGGGACAAAGGCAGCACACTCGAAGTTCCGGTTGTGGAACTCGTTGATCATAAGCTTCAAAGTATTAAGGTTAGTCGACGTTCACTAAGATAGCTGAGCTTTCAACTCACCGATTCGAATCCGTACGCGACAGGGTCCAGGTAGTTGATCCATCGGCACCAGCCAAGCATGTAGTCAACGGGAATGACAAATCCAGTGAAGATGACCAAAGCGAGAATCAAGATCGACGCGGGAACCATGGCCTGCGACAATGTGCGGGACAAGGAGGCACTGATTGGCGTTAGAGTCACTCTTGGTACGGAGAGAAAGTGACTTACATAGATCTGAAAAGGCCAGACATGGACAGCACCATGAGGAATGTGGTTAACAGGAAAAAGAAGAAGTTGCCGGGTTCTCTGTTCAGGTTCGTCATGAAGTAGATGATCAGGTCGTAGCAGATGGTATTCGTGATTTTGTAGGGCATGTCCACCAAAACTGAGGAGAAGGCTTCCGCCGAGGAGTGGTAGAAGGCATAACGACGTTGCTTCTCAACGATGGGCCGTTGGGCGTACTGAGTGAGAATCTCGAGAGCACTGGAGAATGCATTGGCGAGAATGGCGACGAAGAGAACCGCGGATCGACTGTAGAAGGAAGACGTGTTTTCCGGGAGGTTGTAGAACAGGGAGGACATGATGAGAGCCGTGCACGAATTGGCAATCAGGGAGAACAGTGTCAGACTGGGGTCACCCTTAAGCAACTTGAAGCCACGCCAGAGGCAGAGTTTCACTTGCTGTCCGTACGAGAGGATAAAGGGAGACTTGAGACGTTGGTTCTTGGCTTGGACCGACTGCTTCTGGTTTCTGAAGACTTCGGCATCCGGGCCATCCAAAGGATGATCCGTCTTGTACTGCTCAATCTGCTGCTTGAGAGCCGCACACTCGCGACTCTCCTTCCAGCACGCAGCGAACTCATCAGGCGTACGAGGTACGCGAGACTCCCAACCGGGACGGATAACACGCTCTGTAGGCGCCGTCATCGAAGTGAGGAAGTCAGGGGTAGTCTGACGGGCTGGGCACTCGAAGCCGAGGTTGATGAAGTACTGGCGGGCCTCGGTGGTGCGGCCGAAATAGATTTGACGTCCCTCGTAGAGAACGGCAACCTTATCGAATAGATCGTAAGCACTCTGAGGCGCCTGGTAGATCGAGACGGCGCAGGTCTGGCCGAACAACTCAGACTGCAAACGAAGGGTCTTGCAGAATTCGACAGCGTTGGCGGAGTCGAGACCTCTGGTTGAGTTATCCCAGCACTGCAAAGGAGCGTTGGACAACGTCGCTTCGGCAATCGTCACACGCTTGCGCTCTCCACCAGAGACACCACGGACATAGTTGTCGCCCACACGGGTATTGACGGTGTGGCTGATACCGTACATGGCCATGACGACGTCGCGGAGGTGGTCGCAGTACTGGTTGGCGGTGACACCAGGGGGCAGGGTTCGTGGGCAGCGGGCACGGGACGCGAAGGTGAGGGTATCGCCCACGGAAAGTTGAGGGTAGTGGACATCGACTTCGGCAGTGTAGATGGCATCACCGGCGTGGTGCTTGTGGAGTTCCTTTGCCGAAAGACCCTGGTAGTTGAAGTAGGCACGCTCGTCGGTGTAAATGCCGTTCATCTCTCCAGCGATGGTCTTGAGGAAGGTAGAGCAGCCAGATCCCGGAGGTCCAAGAACGACGAGCATCTCGCCTGCCTCTACGATACCGTTGAAATCGCGGAGAATGTCGATGCGGCGTTGGCCTCCGGTCTTCGAGGTGAGGTTGCGAACGAGACCAGGAATCTCGAGCCAAATGTTTCCGACATCCTTCTGGT